CCCCAGGCAAACGCGCCTGTAACCCTCTCCAGGATCAATCGGGCATCCACAGTGCAGATCTACTGACACCCCCCACACTGGAAGGCCCAGGACTAAGCACAGCGGCAACGGCCTACATGTGCATACACCGGGAATCAAACCCGAGACCGCTCTGATACCATGTCAGAATCCCAACCACTAGACCATTGGGATAAAAGAGCTTGTTAAGTAGCGGGTCAAAGTGCACCCATAACCCCCCAAGCAAATGCGCCTGTAACCCCCCGTAGGATCAATCGGGCATCCACAGTGCAGATCTACTGACAACAACAACAACAACAACAACAACAACAACAACAACAACAACAACAACAACAACAACAACAACAACAACAACAACAACAACAACATCAACAACATCACGACGATGAGAAGATACCATAGAACTCCTTGGCGTACGATTGCACATTTTTTTCCGTATCATGAGATTGGTAAATCAGTTAAAGGATAGGCACAGATGGTAAGTGGTGAATCTTTTGTGCACGCTTTTTTTTTTTGTACTGCTTGAAAATCATAAATTTGTCTAGCGTGATTTAATATTGTCGTCGACGATTATAGATATCATTGACTTTTTTGTTTATTAATCAGCCAGAAATACACATCAAAATGATATTCCTACTTGCCTATTTTAGCTCTCAGACATGAGATATTGATTACAAGTAGCTTTATTTATATATACGTCTTAGGCTTAGAATTATTCTGAAAGTCTCGAGTTTATTCTAAAAGTATGCATCTCAAATATATCACTTTTGCACTACTCCTTACATCGCCGCCCACATCTGCATTCCTGTCGGAAATCTGCCAGAAATCAAGAATTACTGTTCATTCTTGACGCGACTCGGGTGCAGCCGAACATTTAGGTCAATCACACCATGCCTCATGGATTTCCGTGCGGAAACCAGCGGATTTCCGTCAGAAATCTGTTGGATATCGAGACAACCAAAAATGTCGAATGCCATGTCAGATTTATATGACATAGCTACTGTAGGCTATAGTGGGGTAGCACATATGGGGTACAGATTTCTAGGGTTTGTTCTTGTACCCACTTTCACTTAGTCATTTCCATTCCTCGTTTCTTCTCATGGTTTCAGAGCAGGTTCCCTAGTGGGAACGCTTTCTAGGGACCTCCTCGAAAATTTTTTTTCCTGCCCGGAGCGCGCTTCGCTCCTGCCCGAGTCGCGCCCCGCGTGCCCTCCCTACCGTCGCGCCGCCCTTAGCGGCCCCTCTCACGGCCCCTTGAGCCGCTCTTACAGCCCCGTGCACCACCCTAGCGGCCCCGCCCACCGCCCTTACGGCCCCGCGCACCGTCCTTGCGGCCCCTTGCACCGCCCGTCGGCCCCTCGCGCCGCCCGTCGACCCCGCGCGCCGCCCTAGCGGCCCCTTGCGCCGCCCGTCGGCTCCGCACGCCGCCCTTGCGGCCCCTCGAGCCGCCCGTCGGCCCACCGTGCGCCGCCCTTGCGGCCCCTTGCGCCGCCCTAGCGGCCCCATCGCCTACTCCTGCGGCCCCGACGCCGCCCTTCCCGGCCCCGGCGCCACCTCGGCTGGCCCCGTCGCCTACCCCTGCGGCCCCGGCGCCGCCCTTCCCGGCCCCGGCGCTGCCTCTGACGGCCCCGACGCCGCCTTACCCGGCCCCGCCGCCGCTCCACCTGGCACCACCGCCCTCCCCACGCGGCCCCGCCGTCACCACCGAGCCCCCAGCGCCGCCGAGCTGCTGCCGAGCCGCCCGAGCCACCCGAGCCGCCTGAGCCGCCGCGCCACCTGAGCCGCCTGAGCCGCCCGAGCCGCCGGGTCGCCGAGCTGCCGAGCCGCCGTACCGCCGAGCCGCCAGAGCCGCCAGTGTCGCCGCGTCGCCAAGCCGCCTGCATCGACGAGCCGCAGTTGCTGCCGAGCTGCCCTACCGCCCGAGCCGCCCGAGCCGCCCGCACCGCCAAGCCGCCCGAGCCGCTCTTTCTGGTAAAAGCAGCGCCTCTGTCACTGCACTGCCCTTACCCTACTGTTCGCGCTGCTAGTCTACTGCTGTCATGGCTACCCCTAGTGTCCTCGCTTTGACGCAGAGGGTTGGGCCATTGACTTTGATGTCTAGATAGATGACCTACAGCTTTTCCTACAGTGCGATAGGGCAGACGGTCTCTCCCTCTTTGACCTCACTTCTGGTGCCTCTCCTGCCCCTGCTGCTGATGCTGACGCCACTGTTCGCTCACAGTGGGCCAGACACAATGCTGCTGCACGTCTTGCTGTGCGTCCCCACCTGCCTACCTCCGAGCGTGCGCACTTTAGCCAGTACAAGAGTGCTCAGACCTTGTACGACGCTGTAGTTGCAGGCTACTCCTCCTTTGCCACTGCTACACTGAGCCGCCTCATGCTATCGTACCTCTTCCCTGACCTTGCTGCCTTTCCCACAGTCACTGACCTCATTACGCACCTCCGCACTAGTGAAACTCGCTACCGCGCTGCGCTTTCTGCTGAGTTCTGCGCCAAGAACCCCACCCCCCCATGTACATCACCCTCTACTACATAGTCGCCCGGCTCCCTGACTCTCTCCGCGTAGTCAGGGACCACTTCCTCTCAGTTCTACCACCCCACCTCTCGCCGTGTTCTGTCCTCCCAAGACGTCACGTTTGACGAGTCGGTCCCCTACTACCGCCTCTTCCCCTACCGCACTCTGTCCCTCCCCCCGCCACCGCTCTTCCTTGTGCCAGGTCCCCCCCCGGTAGACTCCCTCCCCCCTCAGGGTCCTTCCCCTTCAGTTGTGTCCCAGGAAGACGCAGTCGAGCCTGTCGAGGATGCTAGTGACTCTGGTGCTGCTGAGGGTGCTGAGCCTGGGGGTGCTGACTTTGGGGGTGCTGAGCGTGTGGGTACTACGCCTGGGGGTGCTGAGCCTGAGGGTGCTACTAGTGGGGGTACTGGAGCTGGAGGTGCTGCTGCCACGCGGCCTCGATCGTACTTCGTTCCGCTCCTTCAGCAGGTTCTTGGTCTCCCGCTTTCTACTGGTCCTCCTCCTCCCTTAGAGTGTCCACAGCCTGTCTTGTCACACTTACAGCCCCTCTGCCTGCTCCTTCTCCCTACACTGGTCCTACTGGAGGTCTTGCTGAGCGTCGTGAGCCTGCGTCTCGCCCTATGTCGCCTGTCCGTGCTGCTCGCACTAGTGGTCGTGGTTCGCGTCAGCATCCTCCTCCCGTCCCTAGCACGCACCGGATGTCTCTGCGTCCGTCCACTGCTCCTCTACGTGCCCGTTTGCCTTCTCCTCCAGATTCCTCTCTTCCTGCTCTTGCCGACCCGGAGTCGGACTCTCTTCGTGCTGCCAGTCCTACTGTCACGCATCTCCTTGCTACTGACGTCACTGACCCTTCCTTTGAGTCCACTGATGCGTCTGCCCTAGTTGCTGAGCTCGTCGACTTTGCTGCTCGCTGTCGTCTAGACTACGCTGCTAGACTTGTGGCTGAGTCTGTCTGTCCTCCGTCCGTCGGGGGTGAGTGTGCCCTTTGCACGGACGTCCTTGAGGACAGGCAGGAGGAGTTCCAGTGTTTGGCTGCTGCTTCATCTCATCTCGTGTCCATACTGCTTACCCCTGAGGGAGACCCACATGCACTTGACATCCCGACGCCGCGCTCTTACGCGGAGGCGATAGAGGGTCCCTACTCCTCTCAGTGGCAGGCAGCTATGGACGAGGAGATGGCTTCTTGGAAGTCCACAGGCACCTACGTTGACCAGGTTCCCCCGCCTGGGGGGAACATCGTCAGTGGCATGTGGATTTTCAGGGTGAATCGGCCGCCGGGTTCTCCGCCTGTCTTCAAGGCGCGTTACGTGGCTCGTGGCTTCAGTCAGCGGCAGGAAGTTGACTACTTTCAGACCTTCTCTCCCACCCCGAAGATGACTACTCTTCGGGTACTGCTGCACATAGCTGCTCACCGTGACTACGAGCTGCACTCTCTTGACTTCAGCACTACTTTCTTGCAGGGCAGCCTGCATGAGGAGATCTGGCTGCGTCGCCCACCTGGCTTCATTGGGTCTTTTCCTCCTGACACCCAGTGGAGCCTCCGGCGGCCAGTCTACAGTCTCCGCCAGGCACTGCGTGAGTGGCACGACACACTGAGGACTACGCTTGCGGTTCTTGGGTTTTCTCCCTATACTGCCAACCCGTCGCTGTTTATGCGCACCGACACTTCTTTGCCGCCGTTCTACATCCTCGTGTACGTCGACGACTTGGTCTTTGCCACAGCTGACACTGCTGGACTCGCCCACGTGAAGTCCGAGCTGCAGAAGAGACACACGTGCGCAGACTTGGTTGAACTGCGCAGCTATCTTGGCTTGCAGATCACCCGGGACAGAGCACGCCGCTCCATTACCCTGACTCAGTCACACATGGTGCAGCAGGTCCTTCAGCGCTTCGGCTTCACGTACTCCTCGCCTTAGGCCACTCCTTTGCCTACTCGCCACTCACTCTCAGCTCTGCCTTCGGATGAGTCAGTAGAGTCGAGTGGCCTGTACCCAGAGCTTGTTGGCTGCCTCATGTACCTGATGACCTGCACACGACCTGACCTTGCATACATTCTTAGCATTCTCACCGCACTCCAGCGGCCCCACCGCCGCCCTCTTGCGGACCTGTCGCCGCCCTACAGTGGCCCCTTCGCCACTCTGTGCGGCCCCTCCCCAGCCCTGCCGCCGCCGTCGCTGAGCCGCCGCTGCTGGAGCCAAGCCGCCGCTGCAGCCGAGCTGCCGGGCTGCCGAGCCGCCACCGAGCCGCCGCTGAGCCGCCGCTAAGCCGTCGCCGAGCCACCTCCGAGCCGCCGCCGAGCCGCCGAGCCGCTGCTGAGCCGCCGAGCCGCCGCTGCCGCAGCTGGGGCCTTGTTCCTGCCTGCACGCCCCGGCCCTCCCCACCCGGAGTGGTGAGAGCTTTCCCGAGGAGCGTCTATGCCACTGCACTACCTCTAGCCTGCCGCTCTCACCACTAGACTACTGCTGTCATGGCTACCCTCAGTGTCCTTACCTTTGATGCTGAGGGTCGGGCTGTTGACTTTGAGGTCTGGGTCGATGACTTACAGCTTTTCCTACAGTGCGATAGGGCAGACGGTCTCTCCCTTTTCGATCTCACGTCTGGTGCCTCTCCTGCCCCGCCTGCTGATGCTGACAACACTGTTCGCTCACAGTGGGCCACACGCGATGCTGCTGCCCGTCTTGCTGTGCGTCGCCACTTACCGACCGCTGAGGGTGCGCACTTTAGTCAGTACAAGAGTGCTAAGGCTTGTACGACGCTGTAGTTGCACGCTACTCTTCCCCTGCCACTACTGCTCCTAGCCGCCTCATACTGCCGTACCTCTTCCCTGACCTCGCTGCCTTCCCCACAGTCGCTGACCTCATTACGCACCTTCGCACTAGTGACACTCGCTACCGCGCTGCGCTTCATGCTGAGTTCTGCGCAAAGAACCCCCCCCCCCCCATGTACATCACCCTCTACTACATAGTCACCCGGCTCCCTGACTCCCTTCGCTTAGTCAGGGACCACTTCCTCTCAGTTTGCCCCACCACACTCACCGTTGACCTCCTCAAGGAGCGCCTCCTGGCAGCAGAGAGGAGTATAGTCGCTGTAGGAGCCTCTCGTGGTGACCCTCGCACCCCCGTCTTTGAGGGGTGTTTCCCCTCCCCCCTCTTGCCCTCTGTTGCCTCTGCTGCTGCGGCCGACCTCGTTGGCCTCGAGTCGGTCGGAGCTGCGTCTGCCCCTAGCGAGAGACGCCGCACCGGCAAGGGCAAGGGGGCAAGGGCGCTGGAGGAGCTGGCGGGGGCGGTGGAGGTGGCGGTGGAGGCGGTGGAGGGGGTGGGGGTGGTGGTGGGAGTGGTGGCGGGGGTGGAGGCGTCGGTGGCAGCAGTGGAGGCGGAGGAGGCGGAAGCAGTGGCGGTGGGAGCGGAGGAGGCGGTGTCAGAACATTATAGCTTATGCATTTATGTAGGCTGTATTGGGGTAGCCCATAAGGGGTACAACCCAATTAGGGTTACTACTTGTACCCAACTCTTTCTTAGTTCATTCATTCTCGTTCTACCTTTCTCAAGCGGAGGCGGAGGAGGCGGAGGTGGAGGAGGCGGCGGAGGTGGTGGCGGCGGCGGTGGAGCTGGTCGCGGCACTGCGCAGAGGGGTGGCTCCGGTGGTGGTCAGCGCCAGCAGCAGTAGCGCACTCGTGAGACCCCGTCCCACCGGCAGCTTCGTGAGTGGTACGCTGGGCGTCAGCGGGGTGGGGGTGCTGGTCCCTGTACCTACGTGCTCCGTACTGGTGACCGCACTGGTGAGCAGTGCGGGGGCCCGCACCCCACCCTGCGCTGCTTCGGCCGCCTGACGGACGCTTGGCATCATCAGTTCCCTGACGCCAAGGAGATCCCTCGCTGGGGCAAGCTGTCTAGGGCGGGTGTTGCTATCTTTGATCTTGACTATGATGCTATTCTTGCTGCCATGTATGCTGTGTCTACTAGTGATAAGGATGACTCTTAATTGTGTGTTACGCCTGACCCAGGCATTGGGACTACTCCTCTAGGTGCCGCTGTGGCTGCTGCTCTAGGTGTTGGTGAGGCCGCTGCTCTAGGTGCTAGTGAGTCCGATGCCCCAGGTGCTGGTGAGTCTGCTCTCTCAGGTACCACGTCGGCTCAGGCCTCTCACACCTTCACCCTTGACTCGGGTGCTTCCCGCTCCTTCTTTCGAGACCGCACCACACTCACGCCGCTTAGTCGGCCAGTGGCGGTCTCTCTGGCAGACCCCTCTGGGGGTCCTGTCCTTGCCCACTTCTCCACTGTCTTACCGTGTCCGACGGCCCCCTCTGGCACCCTGTCAGGTCTTTACCTCCCCTCGTTCTCTACGAACTTGGTGAGTGGTTCTGATCTCCAGGATGGGGGGTTCACTAGTTCACTCCTGCGTTTCAGCGAGTGACCCACTGCACGTGTGCTCGGACGGGCCGACACTTGGCCACGTTTACCCGTCGTACGGGGTCGAGCCTGTACACACTAACTACCTGGTCTCCTCCGGTTGCTGCGGCTGGTCAGGTAGCTGCGCCGGGTCAGGTGTCTGCTGCGGCATCCAGGTCTGGTCCTGCGTCTGCCCCTTGCTCGTGCCGTCTCATGTCTCACCAGAATCTCCTCTGGCACCACCGCCTTGGTCACCCCTCCCTGCCTCGTCTCCGAGGCATGGCCTCCCGTGTCCTTGTCTCTGGCCTCCCCCGGGCCCTCCCTCCTCTTCCTCCGGGGCCTGCCCCTACCTGCGTCCCTTGCGTCGAGGGGCGGCAGCGCGCTGCTCCTCACTCCTCTGAGTTTCCTCTGACAGAGGCTCCGCTGCAGACGCTGCGCATGGACGTGTATGAGCGTTACTTCCTGCTGGTGGTTGACGACTACTCGTGTTACATCAAAGTCTTCCCTTTGCGCAGCAAGGGTGAGATCACTGCGGTGTTGATCGACTGGATCCGCGCAGCTCGTCTCCAGCTCAGAGAAAGTTTTGGCTCGGACTTCCCTGTTCTGGGTCTGCACTCCGACAGAGGCTGAGAGTTTTCCTCTGACCTTCTGCGAGCCTTCTGTCGTGCACGAGGCATCTGCCAGACCTTCACGCTTCCGGCCTCTCCACAGCAAATTGGGATTGCTGAGCGCCGCATTGGCATGGTCATGGACGTCGCTCGTACGGGCTGCCCCCCATTTTCTGTGGCCATTCGCGGTTCAATACGCGGCGCATCAGATCAACTTTCAGCCCCGGGTCTCCATGCTGGAGACCTCCCCTGCTCTGCGGTGGACGGGGAAGGTTGGTGATGCGTCTGCGTTCCGTGTCTGGGGATCTCGGGCGTTTGTCCGCGACTTGTCTGCGGACAAGCTGTCCCCCCGTGCTGTTCCCTGCGTCTTCCTTAGCTTCCCCCCTGACGCGCCAGGGTGGCAGTTCTACCACCCCACCTCGCGCCGTGTTCTGTCCTTTCAGGACGTCACGTTTGACGAGTCGGTTCCCTACTACCCTCTCTTCCCCTACCGCACTGCGTCCCTCCCCCCGTCGCCGCTCTTCCTCGCGCCAGGTCCCCCTTCGGTAGACCCCCTTCCCCATCAGGGTCCTGCCCCCTCAGGTGTGTCCCAGGTAGACGCAGTCGAGCCTGTCAAGGTAGCGGTTGAATCTGCTGCTGCTAGGGGTGCTGAGCCTGCGGGTGCGGGGTCTAGGGGTGCTGAGCCTGGGGGTGCTGACTCTGGGGGTGCTGAGCCTGGGGGTGCTGAGTCTGGGGGTGCTGCGCCTGGGGGTGCGGAGCCTGGGGGTGCTGCGCCTGCTGGTGTGGCGTCTGGTGGGACTGAGCCTGGAGGTCTTTCGGGTGCTTCGTCCCGTCGGGAGCTCCTCTCTCCACAGGAGCTGCGCGAGTGATTTGCTCGGCGCTGGAGCCGTACTGCTGGAGCTGGAGGTGCTGCTGGTGCTGGAGGTTCTGCTGCTGCTGAAGGTGCTGGTGCCGCGCGTACCGGAGGTGCTCGTCCTGAGGGTTCTAGAGCTGCTGGGCCTGCGGGTGCTCCTGCTGCTGGAGCTGGTGCTGCTGGTGCTGGGGCTACTGCGTCTTCTGGTGGTCCGGCTGGAGCTGGAGGTGTTGGGGCTGTTGGCGCTGGAGGTGCTGCTGGCGGTGGTGCTTCTGAGGGTGCTGGAGTTGCTGGAGCTGGCGCTGCTGGAGCTGGTGGTTCTCCTGGTGCGGGTGCTGCCGTTGGGGGTGCTGGTGCTTTTCCTGCTGGTTCTAGTGGCGCTGCGCGGCCGCGGCCGTACTTTGTTCCGCTCCATGAGCATGTTCTTGGTCTTCCATCCTCTCTTGGTCCTACTCCCCCCTTAGAGTGTCCGCCGGCTGTCCAGTCCGAGTCACAGTTACAGCGAGCCTCTCCACTGCCTGCTCCTTCTCCCTACACTGGTCCTACTGGAGGTCTTGCTGAGCGTCTCGTCCTACGTCGCCTGTTCGTGGTGCTCGCACTGGTCATCGTGGTTCGCGTCAGCGTCCTCCCCCTGTGCCCGGCACGCACCGGATTTCTCTACGTCCTTCTACTGCTCCACTGCGTGCCCCTTTGCCTTCTCCTCCTAAGTCCTCTCTTCCTGTGTGTGATAGTGTGTGCGTGAGTGAGTTGGAAAGTGAGTGCGAGAGTGAGGTGCGAGGGTGAGTGTCAGGGTGAAGGCGAGGGTAGCTGCGAGGTATTGCGTGCATGCTGGAATGGTATGTGCGACACGATATCTTATACCAAATCACCTTCGTGAGATGTCAAATTTGATTGTTTTCGTCCCTCATCTGTATTTTTTGTACTACATTTTTCATCAGCGTATTGTTATAACTCTTACCTCGTTTCTTGTGCTCGTGTGGGCTGCATTCTTGTGATTTGTTTCCTATGCTGTGCAGCTCATGCAAGTTGTATTCTCTTTTGTTTTTGTTTGTGCAGGGAGTGTCAGCTGCATTATCTGTTTTCGCTTTCTTGTCCAAGGAATGTGACTTGCATGCGCTGTTTGTGCTTTCTTGTGCAGGGAGTTCAAGCTGCACTATTTGGTTTTTCTTGTGGAGAAAGGGGAGGGGTTGAGAGAGGGTAAACTAGTACGGGAGGAATAGGGAATATTGGAAGGGAGGGGAGGGGATGGGATACAAGGGAGGGAGGGAGGGGAATGTGGGACAGGTTAACGTTGATTTATACATGGCTGAACTCATTCGTTACACTTGCATTGCATGTTCAATAGTGGTAGTATGCCTTTGTGTTTGTTTGCGTGTGAATGTGTAGGTGTGTGAGCGAGCCTATATGTGTTTGTCCATACATGTTGGTGCTGTTTGTGTCTGTTTCGGGGATTGGTGTTGAGTGCCTCGTGTATGCATCTGGGGTTGTGATCGTCGGTGGGGCAGCTTTGTTCGCCCCTTCCGCACCATATCAACCTCTGTTGCGACATCGATGCATTTAGCATTAGCCTTGAAACATTCACAACTGTTAAATGTCCAACGTTATTGTGCAAGTTTGTGTGTTGTAGTTTGTGTCTGTTTCGGGGTTTGGTGTTGAGTGCCTCGTGTATGCAATTGGGGTTGTGATCGTCGGGGGGGGGCAGCTTTGCTCGCCCCTTCCGCACCATATCAACCTCTGTTGCATCATCGATGCATTTAGCAATAGCCTTGAAGCATTCTTGATTGTCCAACGTTTTTTAGCAAGTTTGTGTATCGTACGGTATCGTCGTTCGTGCGGAGAGATTGTCCAATTATTCCATTTGCCGTACTTATCGACGATTATGGATGATTGGATACATTTGGTTTCACTTGTACGGTAACTTACATGAACAATGTTGTAAGGAATTTTCCCGAATTCCTTATCGGGGTTGACTGCTTCGCGTACAACCCGATTTCCGGAGTTCGCACGTTCGGCCAATTTCAACGCTGCCGAGGCTCCTCACGTCGCCTTCGGCATTTCCATCGCCAAACTTGCACCCAACCTCGTCTCCCGAGGTTTCCTCCCAGCTAGGCTAGCCCTACATTAGTCTGTGCATTCATTGTATTCTTAGTGCATTCAGTCACAGCCTCGTTATTCGTTTACATGCGCACTCTCTTTTACAACTCATAACAAATGTTTCCTTCCGGATTTTTTAAAGGGAAATCACTGTTCACATCAGTTCCCTGAAAAGTGAAACCAAATGTATAAGGTTGCTACGCAACCCAAAAATGCGAGGTTGCAATAACGCCCTACAGAATGAGGCCACCCAAGCTTTACGTGTCAAACATTATATATATGTTGTAGTTGTTTAGGCTACAGTGGGTTAGCCTATAGGGGGTACACAATTCTAGGGTTTCCTACTTGTACTCATTTCACTGTTAGTTCATCCATTCTTGTACAACATGGTATAGAGCAGGTCCTTCCTAGGACCAATTTTTAGGGCCCACCACTACCTACCTACCTACCTACCTACCTACCTACCTACACCCTAGGGCGCCTCGGCTTTCACACTCCTAGAGGCCTCGTCGGCCCCGCGCTCTTGTCCCTAGAGGCCTCGATCGGCCCCGCGCTCGCCCTTAGAGGCCCCTAACGGCCCCGCGCTTACCCCTAGAGGCCCCGATCGGCCCCGCGCTCGCCCTTAGAGGCCCCGAACGGCCCCGCGTTTGCCCCTAGAGGCCCACAAAGGCCCCGCGCTCGCCCTTAGAGGCCCCGAATCGGCCCCGCGCTCGTCCCTAAGGCCCCGGGAGGCCCCGCGCTTGCCCTTAGCGGCCCCCCTTACGGCCCCGCGCTTGTCCCTAACGGCCCCGTTCGGCCCCGCGCTCGTCCCTAACAGCCCCGATCGGCCCCGCGCTCGCCCTTAGAGGCCCACGTCGGCCCCGCGCTCGTCCCTAACGGCCCCGATCGGCCCCACCCGCTCCCCGCGCTTGCCTCTATAGGCCCCGAACGGCCCCACCCGGAACGAGCCGCCCAAACCGAGCAGCCCGAACCAAGCCGCCCAGTCCGAACCAAGCCACCCGACCCGAGCCGCCCAGCCCTAACCGAGCCGCGCCGCCCGAACCTAACCGCGCCGCCCTTACCGAGCCGCGCCGCCCTACCTGTACCGAGCCGCGCCGCCCTACCT